GGCTCATTAGTTAATATATATGCTGACGCACGGTACGCGACCGTATGCAGAATATGCACTCCGTTTTGCTTTTTGTTTTGTTCCTGCTCACCGTGTTTCAAGTCGTCCACTAGCCACCAAAGCCGAGCAACCCACCACCCATCGTCGTCGAGGTGGCACCACCCACTCGCAGAACCACCCACCCACCAACTGGCCAACTAACCACCGTTAGAAATCGCGTGTCGCGGTTTCAACCCTCGTAAGTGCTTTTCCATGCTGCCGAACAGTACCGCCGATTTTGAATCGATGAGAATCGATGACCAACAGTCTGGGCTGATCTTTATATTTGATCATACTAGTAGAAAGACGCAATTTTGTTTCAAATTTATTCTGAAACATAGTAAATTATGCCGACAATGATTCACATCTGAGCTTAGCACTTTCACTCGCTCACAGTGATTCACACGATCAAATCGATTTAATAAAATTAAGGATTCATGAGTAGTGGCTTGAATTCCACCAACAATTACTCGATTCAATACAAAAACTTTTAAATTATTTAAGAACTAAAATATTGGTTATATGATAAATTTTTTTTTCTATGGATGGTGGAATTATATTTTAAATAAAATGCAACGTTATAATGAGCTGCTGAATTGAATAATGCACTGATCTTTTATAAAAATTGAACTGGATTGGACTAACAAAATGTATTGGATTAGCAAAACGTCGAATCTGGAACTACCAATTTAAGTAACGTAAGAAATGAAGAGACTGACATTATTCCAAAACAGTGTGATCGGCGGGGAAATTGGCACTGCCGTGACTGTAACCCCATTCTGGGGACTGACTCTGCCTCTTCTGGCAGATCAGATCCGCCCTATTAAAGCTCGTTTTATGTTTGTGCGGTTTTTTCTCTTGTCCGCGCCTCTTGTGCAATTAAGATTTTCCATTTGGCCCAGCACTTTTATGGGTTTACTTGGACGAAGGTAGCGAAAACCGAAAAAGGAAATCCCCACGACACCGAAGCTGTTTCAATGTCTTTCTAATGGAAGACCAAGAAATGTGTCTGTAACCCGAGAAGGGCAGCAGTTTGATTGCTTTCGAGTGCGGAGAGGGGATCAAAGAGCTTAGTGTTACGGCAGAACCTGTATAGTCCAAATCACATATCTACATATATATACATGTATATCATATATGTATATACAGGAAGTTCTGTTTTTATTAGCTCGTTAGTTAGTAAAAAAAAAGTTTTCATACACCCAATGAAAAATTTAAAGGGATTCATGTAGACAGCTTAAAATTTGATTTTTTGGACCGCAGTTTTTTTTGGAGATTTGAGGAATAGGAGAATAATGTAAGAAAGCAATGTACAAATTTAAGACACTTTTAGGCAAGTGGTTACTATACTGGGCCTGGATTGAGATAACGTCATAGTGAGGGGGTGATCTTGACTTACTTTGGGGGATATATCCTTCCGTTCAGATCATATGCGTTTCTTTTTCTGGTCGCTTCCTCTCGTTTTATTCTCCTTGCTTTTGCGCTGTCCTGGTCTTGTTGTTTTGCTTCCGTTCGAAAGGAGGGGGAGGGCGGATGTCGTGGAGTCTGTGGCACGCGCGTTTTTCAACTACGTTTCGCATTTATTTAGTAGCTTTAAGGATGTTATTGTCCTGCGTTTTGGCCAAATACAAAGTCGGTTGACAAAGTTGGACTACACCGGAAACGGACTCGATCACACACACAGGCACTCGCACAGCTCACAAAATGGACGACGCACTCTCAAAAATGTAATTTCCTGTTTTTATTCGTTAGTTTTCCTGGCCTTTATTTTCTAGCACTGCCAAACTGCACATTTACAAAAACAAAGCAAATAGTATGTATAGATTCGAAAGCAAGCGATGGCAAGAGCAACAATAACAAGAACAATAGCAATACCCGATGCAACGATTACTAGTTAATGTTAATGTCATTAAAAAGTACTAACTCGTTTTTGTTTGGGGTTCTTGCCTTAACTGCCGAGTGTTGCTATTACCTCTTGTCTGCCTGGTGTTCTTTTGGCTACTGGACTATTTATTTGTTATTTTCCATTATTTTCGGCACCGGTAGTGTTCGTAGCAAAGGGAGACAGCAACAACGTGAGTGTCAGTAAAAAGTAAAAGAGGGAGACAAAACACGTCTTCCAGCACTCGCAGTCCGCTTTGAAATGAAATTCCGAACTTGCAACGCAAAGCAACGGCAGAATCAAAGCAACGGCACACCGAGGGCAGCGACGTCGGCAGAGGCAGAGGCAGCAGCTTTTACGATATTCACGGTGCTCGCCGTCTGTTGCTTCCGTCCTAATACCGTTTGTTGTTGCTTTTTGCTTTGCATTCGCAGTTGTTGCTTAAGTTGTGCACTGAACAAAATTCTTAAACTATTATGCGTCCCCAAAGGTGAACCCATAAAACATTACAATAAATATACTTTAGAAATGTACATTACTTTAAAAGAACTGACAAATTGTGTATTTCTATTATCACACAATTCGTTAAGTTTATAAAGTCATTAATAAAAAGCGGTTTCTCTAAGTTTCTTAATTTGAAATTTCATTTTATTTTGTAATGCTCTGGTCCATATCTATAACTACATACACATACATATGCATGGGTAAAATTATGTCAGTGTACTTCTGCCGTTTTTTGTTTTGTGGCTAAAGTAGGGAAATACATGAAAATGCCTATGCGACAGATTGAATAATTAAATCAAACACGAAAGAAGTGGCGATAAACCATCGAATACACTGAAAAATGTTCAAAAATTTAATTTCTATACCCACGTTCTGTTACCCTAAGATTCTTTTTGTACATACTTTAAGGCCTCCTATGTATATACTTTTTTAGTTGGCTTTGAAAACCTAAGAGTAATTTAGAGGATTTAAAAAGGCCCTTACGAAAACCAAAGTGAATTGAAATTAATTGTCAGTGAAGTTAATATTTCCATCGTCGGCTCATGTTTCCTCAAGCAATTAGAGAATTAGGAAAACTTGCATTCTATTTTATGAACAGGGACCGTCTATCCCTTATTCTTTAACAGAAAACTTCACCGGGTGTCCTCTTCTGTCCAGCGGCGTAATCAGATTATCGCCATCGGAACTGACTCCCCGAAAAGGGGACTCTCCTGGGGTTTGCCACAACATCTATGCACCAAAAGACGCTAATGGGCCAAAAAGGTGTGACACGGGACGAAGTAGAGCCAGCAATCGTGATATCAAAGATGCACACAAGTTTCTAGGGTGTGGGCCTGTACGTTTTGGGTGGCAAAGTGCGAAAATGGGGCGGCAGTGGGTGAGTCCTTCTTTGCCCAGGAGCAGCGCATGCGTTGAGTCCTGCCAAAGGACATTCACCTCTGGTCGGTCCTCAGTTTGCCGCCAAACAGGGTGCATTTATATGTAAGCCGCTCGCATTGTATCTGATTTCAGGCGCACCCACAAAAATACAAGCCATGCACACCCCACAAAATAGAATAAACAATACCCCCCCCTGAATGCTAAGTTAATTGAATTAGTTCCAAGACTTAAAAAAGCTTTGGAGTTTGGTAACGAAACTTCCTTTTGATGATCACTCAAGGGCGGTTTTCAATACTTCGGTAAAATATTCTAACTAAAAGTTAAAATTCTTTTCAGCGATCTAACACTTTTATATAGTTCAGTCGGTACTTTAACTTTACGCCTTTATGTATTAAAAATCTTCTTATTTTGTGTGTAATCATGTACTTGAGCGCTAACCTAGTTTTCGGTCAGCTTGGTTGGCCAGGGCGTGGTTCCAATCCCGGGTAACCAGTTGGTAGGTGTATATACCCATGAATATAGTACATGGCATCCACAGATTGCAGTGCAAATCAGGGGAAACAGCATCCACAAAGGGTCTGAAAGAGAGAGGGAGCTTGAGAAACGTTGGGGAAGTTCTTAGGCCATCTCGCTCTGAAAGATGCAAAATCGGGGGTGTTGGGGTGTAGCACGAACTCATAGATACATGCCCGCGGTTCGAGATACAATTGCGAGTAATACTGCTACAGCTTCAGCTCTGTATCTGTAGGTGCTACTGCGCCTATTCCCCAGCCTAAGCAGTGCCACCCAAAAGCCCTCCGAAAGTTCCCTCCCAGAACCCCTGAAAACCCCCAAGCTACCCTGCCCACTTGAAAACCCCACCCTGAGACTTCGAAAAGCGCACTTTTTATCGCTATGTAGAACATTATTTAATTCTTTATGACCCACATAGAAAAGCATCGGCATTTTGCATAGTAATCGAAATACGTTTCAATTTATTATTCATATTTATTGCATATTTACTGCTCTTTTATAGTCAATATAGTTGTCTTTCGGGTGTACAGAGTGGTGGTGTATTTGTTTTCGGGGAACACAGAACATTTACGACTAGTTTTATGTCGTGTTTTAACTTTATTTTCATAGCCATTATTGTAAATACATATAAATACTTGTAACACTTAATACAAATTGCTCTTCCTAGGCTTAGTCAAGTTGTATTGGTTGAGTATTATGAGAAATATTTAGAAATTGCTTGAAAGTTGTTCCTTAAATAGGAATCAGAAGTAATTTATCTGTAACGGAACTGTAAATGATCTTACTATTTGAATAATACATATATTCCTAAGGAATACTAATCAATTCATCTTAATAGCTACTGAAATATAGAATATAGGGTTAAAAATTTCGAAGAAAGAAATGAAACCTTTCAGAATAAAGCAAAAACAAACATCCAGAAACACTTTTTAGAAATTTACGAAAGAGTGTAGAGAAATTTCAAAGAATTTATTTATTATGGTTTATGGGTTAAAAACCAATTTAAGATCCATTGAGAAATAGTTATAGAAACGAATAGGAATAGTCGTACAATAAGTTCTCATCTTAGTTAGAATTTTTAAGTGAGTCCCACAAATACTATAATTTCATTTTATTTAATTTCCCTTTTTGAATAATAAGAACAAATAGTGGTTGTCGGGTATAACTTGAATATTTCCGTTGGTTTTTTTTTCGTTTTTCTTTTAATTTTTATTAATTTTGCATAAAATGTCATTTTGCTGGTTTCGATTTTCGTTTCGATTCTACATAGAATAGGAGTTCCTCTAATGAGTTCGATCTCTCATCATATCTACTTAGTTTCAATAAATTCTAATGTAATCGGCTGTAAATACAATACAATTTTCAATTTTGATTTTTCGCTGAATATGCGATTTTTCGAACAATGTTTCGAGTTGGCGTACAATAAATACATGTAAGAAAATGCATACAAAGTTACAGTTAATTCTAGTTAAAAATTTAGTACGAGTATAAAATTGAAATAACTAATTTAATATATATATATATTGTTTTTTCTTATTATTTTTGTTTTTCTTTTTGGTTTTGATTTCGATTTTGGCATTCATAACTTTGAATATACAATTAATTAGTCAGTAGATTCAAAATACTCGAACTCAACAAGAAAGCGATTACAACGTAGGCTACATAAAGAACTCTTTGGCATTGAAAATATATATATCGCATCGTATGTGTAAGTGGGGTCTATATCCTAGATAACTTATACCATTATGGTAGACAAAAAAAAACACAGACATATTTATACCTCCTTAAATAGATTTGTGCGTCTTATAGTAAGTTATTTCATTGGAATTTTTAGCAATCTCTTGATTTGTCCTTCTACAATTTTTGAGCTTTCATAATACTGAAGTGGGGTTTGTTGGGGATTACTGGAGCTGGAACAAGCACAAACGTATCACATAAAAATCTATTCGGGCGAAACAAGGTTCCTAACAAGAGCTCTCCATGTCTTTTATCTCGGATTTAATTTAAAAATTGTGGTAAATTCTATGCTAAAAATAAGGAATCTCAACAAGGGGATCAAACAAGCACGGGTTGGGCTTAAAAGGGGCTTTTGCAGTTTGGATTGAGCATCTACATATGCATGTGAGTATATATCCTTAGGTGCTAGGCTGTGTAAACCGTCTACTTTGTAGTACAGTGTTCTCTAATAACTTTTGCGTTTCTCGATTTCTGGTGGGGTTAATGACTTCTCCTATCCGTATTCTTCTCCTCTTTCAAAACTTCATCTCTTATTCCGTTTCTTTTTCATTTAACTTTTTATTTTTGCAATACATCCAAAGTGCTTTGGAACGCCGATTAATTATCCTTGTAAATATCATTGATAGAACTCGCTATCTTGGGTTATACATATTCGGTATATCTGCTCTATATTTGGTTGATCGTTAGTTTAGCGGCATACATCGTAGTGCGGTTGGTTCACAACCCGTTTTGCTGATCCTCAGTCAGTAACTATTTATAAATGTATAAAATGTTGTCTAGTTTTTTGATTGCGACCTTTTTCAACATTTATCAAACTTTAATTCTTAGATTTTCGGAATTGTGTGTAAGGGGTAAACATGTCTTCATCTACGGTTACGTGTTTTGCCTACAATACTTCTCAGATCGCTCACCTGCTACCAAATGGAAGTTACCTACAAATCGGGGCTTTCGATTGATACAAAGATGCCTCAAAATAAAATATCCATCCAATCACTGGTAATTTCCTCTTTTCTTAAGTGGAAAATATTGGATTTGAGGTTTGTTGTCAGGCAAAATACTTTCTGGTAGTAAGTGAACGTTGAGTTTAAACCATTTAATATATTGCGTATACGCACTAGTGACAATTGCTTGGAAATTTATTGCCTATACGCCCTAATGACATTGTTTGGGGTTTCTTCAATAATTTATATTTGCTTTGGGTCTTGTGGTGGTTACCCGATTGATTTATCTTATATTGTTCCATACTTGGGACCCTTTGGATTACCTTTTCTTTATAATGTTTCTTTTCTAGGATATGTTTTGGGCTTTCGACGCTTGCATCCCATTGGGTTTATGTTTGGCTTTGGTGGTTCTCGAAGATGGGTTCCTAGTTCTCTGGTTTCTGTTTCGTTGGTGGGTGGATTGGTATGGTGGAGCCCAGCGGGTGCAAGTCCTAGACAAAGCTGAGCTCATGGCCGCTGATCGCGTCGATGAACTCAAAGTGCGCGTAAACTCATTCGCCGTTGATCACGTAAACCGGACAGAAGGCCTTTTCCGTGTTGAGGGACTGCGGCGACAGCGCCCGGATGGGTGCCCTCAGTCCACAGCTGCCATCGCCGCCCTGTTGCCCCTCTGCTCCTGCTGCTCCTCCTGCCTCTCCTGCTCCCTCTGATCCTGCTGATGCTGCCGACCCTGCAGATCCTCCGGCCGGTGCTCTTCCCTCCTCCGCCGAATTACTCTCCCCGCTCTCCACCTCCTCGACGGTCTCCAGCTCGCCGCCAGCCAGCGTAGTGGAGCAGTAGCAGTAGGACAGGTTCGTCTTGAGATCCTCGCAGAATTGCTGCTGCTGCGCAATGCTCTGGATGCGCGAGCGGGCGAATTCTCACATGTACGTGGGCTTCAGCTTGTAGGCCCTCTTCCAGATCTCGCACAGGCACACCGTCGAGTGGAACCTGTAGAATATGGCCAGGGGCATCGACACATGCGTGATGATCGTCCAGGCCCACAAGCCGTAGAAGTTTAGCTGAATGGGATGTGACTCTGCGCGGGACTTCTCCAGCGTACTGATGGCCCACATGGCCAGGTTCACGACCAGCATGAAGGTGACGATCTCACGGCCCGGCTTCTTGCGCAAGTGCTCCGGGCTGACGGCCTGCCGGCGACTGGCGTCCAAAATAAACATCGTCTGGCAGGCGGTCTGCACGATGGAGGCCAGGGCATTTATAGGCACCAACATATCGTCACTCCGCAGGGTAAAGTGCCCGGCTATGACTGTAAAGATGTTGTACAGAAACGAGCCTGTCTGCGCGCCGACCAAGAGTATGTCATCCAGCGAGAAACTCCTGTAGGCATCGTACTGCAGATGTCGGATCTGAATCATCCCGACCAAAGTGGCTATCGTGGCCGTTCCGTAGATGAGAAGCTCACAAATTGTCACCTCAGTAACGGCCAGGGCCACGAACTCGGGCCGTGAGATCAGCACAAAGAAGATGATCAGCGATATGATAGTCAGCACCAAAATAAGAATGCCCACGAACAGGCCCTTGTGGGCCCTGGCACAGTCCACGGAATAGTGGTGCGGAGATCGCTTCATCGGCGAACTGATCATATCCGGACGCTGCGGCGTGGGCGTCTGGGGCCTTGAGATGCTTCTCCACATCACGTACAATATGGCCGCGCATATCAACGAGTACTCAATGGTACAGGGGAACAGAAACGGCGAGGCATCCTGCACCAGAGTTCCAATGATATTGGTTCGCCGGCACTCGAAGATCTGGTACGGTCCCTTGAGGCCCCTCGCAACCCGCAAATGGGCCGTCGGATCGTGCTGAATTATGGCATGCCCCCTGGAGTGTCCCGGTATCCTGTGCGAAATCCTCAGCGTGCGATTCTCCGGATTGTAGAACGTCAATATCTCGTGCTTCGTCTCCTGGATGAGAACATTAAGCCAAACGGCCAGATTCGTACCAATCATGTGCATCAGACCGAAGCGAGCAATAATCTTGTATCGATAAACCTTGATCTGTTCGTTGTTCAGGAAGATGAAGTACATTTGGATGAAGATGAAGGCCATACGGGTGGCCGGCGTCAGGGCCAGCAGAACGTTGTGGCACTTGGTGTCCGGATTAAGTTCGAAATACTGTCCAAACTCCAGACCCGAATAGATCATGCTGCCAATTCCGAACGCTGTAATTGTGAAGGGGGATTTTTGATGAGCTTTTAGTAGTACTTATGTATTGGCAAAAGCCGGGTGGATTACATTCAAGAAACATAAGTATCCCTTACGCATATAATCATGCATGTCAGGCTTTTTAATCGGTATTGTTCACACTCACCGACGGCCCCCATGCGCAGATAAAAGCTACCGTAGTGGGCATCCCGTCTTCCAAGTGGCGAGAGGAGCGATGGACGCCGCACGGGAATCGCCGGAGGAAGTCGGTGGTGCACGGAGTTACTATCCGTATCCGATTCGTCCATGCTATCTGTTCCACTTGCCTTCGTCGTCGACTTGTTCGGGGAAGTGGCTGTGGGAAAAAGGAGACATCCCTGCCGTTATACCATTCAAATACCCCTTAAGATCCTCAACACAACTTACCAATTGGAACTGGCAATTTAGGACGTCCCCATAGCAAAGTGGCGTACATAAAAAGCAGGAATATCATGCTGCCGATGTACAAATACAAATAGTACACCTAGATAATTACAACAACACAAAATAAGTAAGTGCCTTCACTAAACACATTAAAAGAATCCACAATGTTCATTAGGTTTTCAGTACCCGTTCCTCCCAAGATAGAGATATATAGAACTCACCTCATAGAAAGAGGGTGGGATATAGGTCGATATAACCTCTGCCATTGGAAATGCTATTCCCATCACGACCAACAGTTTCCCGTAGAGTGCGGAGAACAGAGTGGCCAGTGCATCGCCGCTGTAATATAAACAAATCTGGGATGTTATATACCAATGAAAATAATCTGTCGGTAATCAGTTCAGTGACCTGGAACCTCTGGCACCCTTAACGGATAACATTTATGTTATATCTTTTATATGATATACTTACGCCTTAACCCTCGGCATCGGCGGGTAAACGAAAGATGGCCGGTGAGTGCGCTTGATGGCGGGCAGCACCGGATAATTGGTCAGCTGGTGCGAGTGGTACATCAGCGCCAGCTGTCCGTCCGCCTGACTCCCGCTGAGGGCCGGCTGGGAGCTGCTGCCTCCGGGTGAGGAGGGCGGATCCGAGCTGTCGGGCCCGCCGCCTCCAATGTCCCGATCGCCGTCGCCATTTCCGCCGCCAATGATCAGGCCACTTGGCCCCGGTGTCTCCTGGATGTTGCCTTTGTGGCTGGGCAGACTGGACTCGTCGATGGTCACGTGGTGCTGCGATCCCGAGCGGGCTGAGACTCGGCCCGGGGATATGGCCACCGCTGGCTCGGCGGGGGTGCCCATTAGGGACCCTCCGGCGGCGGCCGGAGGAGCTGCCTCCATGAAGAGCCGGCGGCGGTCCACGGGAGAACTGCTGCTACCGCTGTCGGCGGGCGGGGCATAGCTACTGGGCACAGTGGGCGTGGGTACCCGCACACTGTGGGTGTGGTGGTTCTGGTGGTGCGGATGCTGGAACTGGTGCGGCAAGTGGTAGTGGTGGTGGCTGCTCGTGAAGTGCGACCTCGGCTGGCTGGTGACCACCGCAGGGGGCTTCTGCTCATCCTGGTAGCTCACCGTGGCTATTGACGGCTTCAGTGGCTCCGGCTTCAGTGGCTCCGGCGGCTCGGCGGTGCAGCTGCTTGAGCTGGAAGCGGAAGATGAAGAAGAAGAGGAGGAACCGGATGCGACCGACATTAGTGGGATCAACGAGTATATGGTATGCGTGGCTGGATTGGCGGACCGACGTGGGCTCACTGAATCGGTGGACTGGGTTCTGGGCCCCGCACCCGATTTTGCAGATACAAATACATACGGCTGGCTTAATTAAATAATGGTCTCCCCTTCAAATCGTATATATGCGAGTATGAATATACATATGTATGTATAAATCGCGTGTGCGGGGATTTATTGTATCGGATGCCAGACATTTCCGCCGCGGATACATTGAACTTGGTGTCAAGTCGCCAGCCTTCGAATAAACTTTAAGCCCTGCAAGAAGATGAGCCACTATTTATAGACACCTAGACCTAGGTGGAATCTCTGTCCTTCCGGAGCACCCACCTCCCCCGGCTTCCACCCACCGGCAAACACAGCGTGCGCTCCGAAATTGCGCTTAATAACAGATACAAATAGGGACACATGTACGGATGCCAACGCATATTCAGACTCGGATCAAGATAAACACATAGAGCTAGCGAAAAAAAGAACAATACCCACTCAAAACAGAAACTTAATGAAAAGTCCCCAACCATTCGCCACGGGCAATTGAAACTAATCGCTGTCTAGTGGACACAGCACAAATCGGGATACACATGCGAACTATACAGTGCGTTTCGCAATTTTAGGTGGTGAGATTAAATAATTTTCTATAGGGTGATTTTAAAGTGTCATTACTAAGACCTCTTCAAAGAGAGTAATATTTATATAGCTACTGGTACTGTAAGGAGGTGGCTTTTAAATAATTGTTTGCTTTGCTTTATTAATTAAAAACAGCGCCCTATACTATAGAACCATAGGACTACAGTACAAAAGTCCTGATAAACCTAATTCTTTATTATTTCAAAAGAAAAGTCTTGATAAACCCAATTCGCACTGTACCCCCTATAAGTGAATACGGGGATTTGTGCCTGTATTTTAGCTGGCGGCACTCACACAATCCTAGTATGTTTGCTGGCTTAATGGAAATATGAAATATTTTCAGTACGTGATTGGGATGTTTAATTAAGGCGGAGCGGCATGCACATGACACATGTCGGATGACAGGTGGATTCGAAAAAAGGGGGTGGGTGTACTTTTCGAGGGCCCACATCCTGCTTCACACGCTTCCCATGCCAACAGATCCATGAGATCCGAGCACGCATCATTTATTCGCATTCAAATCGAGGCTAGACCCCATTGCTTTTTCAAATCGAGAACCACTCGAAAGTAATGCCGAGCATCATTACGACATCTGGTTGAGGGCTCACGAGAAGTCGCATTGTTCAGTGTCACAAATGTGTTAGTTTTGAGGAACACTTTAACTTAAATATTGTAATTAGAGAATTAAACAGATTTAGAAGAATCAATATTGCTAAAAACAACAAATATTAAATACTTAATATGCTTTTAACTATTTATATTTTTCGGTTTTGGGGAATTGAATACTATGTTTTTTTTAGCTTTTAAAAATGAATAATGGGAAAGTAAGAATGGCAACGTTTGTTGAGGGACCCTGTCCTGTGGTTTTGGAGAGGGTTTTTGGGATTACAAATAACCTTGACATCAGGACACATCCATCAACACAAATACAAACAGAGACAGCAGTGCATGCCACATAGGGAGGGGCAGAAATTGTGTGGGCTGTGCACTCAGGCGCTCTTGTAATCCGATTTCTAAAAGCGTGCTGCGTGCCGGGGTCCTTTTTTGTACCTGAGTTTTTGGGGTTGTTAACCCGACGCGACGGTAACCTTTTGCCCTGACTGTTGCATAAATGGAAGGCGAACCAGCCAGCTTTCCATCGCTTCCCCATGATTCTACTGCACCTGCAGCACAAAGTCAAAGAGGGCAAACAAACGCGGTCTGTGCAGCAAACACTTTGAGGAGCGCTACTACACAAGTAACTCGCCATCATGGTGGCAATTTGCAGTGAGGTAACAAGGAACCAAAGTGATTTGAGTGGATTATCCTTCTGACAATGGGATGTAAGAGTTCAATTTTCTATTTAGCGTGGGACAGAAAGAGCGGCAGAGAATGTTTTAAGATATTTTCTAAAGGGACAAGAAGATGAATGAAAGCTTGTCTCTACCCCTTTCACACCTTGACCAGCCTGCTTGTTCGCCAGTGACACTTATTGATACCAAGATAAATGGACACGGATCGATCGGAAGAGCCGGGACTCAATCAGCAACCATCAATCCGGTTGCCTGTCAGTCAGCTGGGGCAGTTAATTTCCGGCTCGAAAGGCGGAAGACATCAAATATTCACGAGTGCGAAAGCATTCACCCCGGATCCGAGGCTCCGTGCTCCGAGTCCGGACAAAAGACGGCCTGGAAATGTCCATTAATGAGGGCTCCTTGCATTCGGACAAATGCGAAAACCGCACTGGCAACACAAAAGTTGCCACTGAGCACATGGCACAACAAACATTCAATTGACCCATTTTGCGGTGGTGCTCGGGGGTCTTTCGGTTGGCTGGCAGTGGCTGGGCAATTTCCAGTCGAGCCGCTTGCTTTTGGCGCCATAATAATGGGCGTGGCAATGGCCGAGGACAACAACCTGCCAGGTCATCATTTTTACCTTTCACCTCCTCGGTTCTGCTCTTTTTCATGCTTTTTTTTTTGAGCTGCAACAATTTGTGCATGTCAAGCCAATCGAGCAGCTACAGGCAAGGGCCGTGTTCACCTGTAAAGCCTCCCGTGCCTCCCCCACCATGCTGCACACCAGGCGTATACGCACTTCAAATGCCGCATACGCCGTGTGGTCCTTCCACTGAACGAGACACTACGAACGTCTAGAATTGAATTGTTATCCATTGGAGCGGAGCTGATAACTCACAAAGGTTTTGGGGACGTAGAGCACATCAGCTTGAATCTCTGTGGTTTCCCATTCTAAGCTGTTTAGTAATATTTCTCGGTGAGTACCCCCTGTTTCTCTCAGTTTACGGCTCTGCTTACGGCATGAAACTTGTCAGGGTGTTGCTCTGGAAACGGTTGTTTAATTAATGCCGAGGGGAGGCTGTAGGGGATGCAGGCAGACAACGCCACAGCGGCGCAGCGAAGCGAGTGCAGCTGGCGCTTTCGTGGCAGTAGGGGTTCGGAGAGGTGCCAGAGGACCAAGTGGAGGAGTAGGGAATGCACCGACACGGTGGTAGCACGAGCACACAAGCCAAACAGTTTTGCCGAGCTATTAGCAGCGCCTAATGGAGGCTGACGTGAACGACTTCGCCGTACGTTGTTAGATGAAATTGGGGATAAGGACGCGCGGCGTTCTAAGGACGATTATGCAATTAATGAAGTGCCCGAAGGAACACGAAACCAGACAAGATGGTTCAGTAAGGTACGCGATAGGAGAGCAGCATCCCAAGAAGCGCTCTGCGCTTAAAAGTTTCTTAAGCCTGAATCCCTAAAAGATTTGCATCTCAAGTTAAGCCAAATTTAGGCGAGTCTAAATAGCGAGTCTGGGGTTTAAATGGAGTTTATATTATAGGTACTTATCGTTGTGGATAATCCACTTGAAATGTTTGTATGCTGTTGTCCCAATCACCGCTTTCATTTTTGTGACACTCACCCGATCTGCTCCTTGACTCCGGCGGCGACTCCCACGGCAGCGGCCGCGGATTCGGCCAGTTTGGGTGGACTGCTGACCAGCGGCGGACTGCAGACCCTCGGCGGCGTGGTGATCCTGGGTGGACTGTGCATCTGGCGGGCCAGTTCCGGCGGGGGACTTCTCATCAGTGGGGGCGAAGGCATTGCCGGAGCTCCCTCTCCGGCCGGCGGACTTTGCACCCGATGAGATCCGGACTTGATGGATCCCGCCGAGCTGCGCACGGATGTGTGGCCCTGCGAGCGAACGGAAGTCTGTGACTTGAGGGAGGCCTGCGGGGAGAGGACATCAGCTGCCTGGGCGGAGGCCACGGATCCCGTGCGGGATCCTAGTCGAGAGCCACCCCGGGACCCTGGCGCAGATCCCTGCTGTGATCCCGATCTCAGTTGCGAGCGCTGGCTGCCACTGCGACTCGGCCCGCGACTGTCGAGCTTCGGCGAACCGGCAGCTCCGCCGCCAACGGATGTGGAAATGGATCCCGTCAAGATGCTGGCTGGCCGCGGAGAACTAATACTGTCGCCGCCCTGATCCTGCAGCGATTCCCTGTCCACGGATATCTCATCCGTCTCCTTGGTCAGCTCCTCCTCCTCCTCCTCCTCCTCCTCGTCGGGCTCTGGCTCTAAGGGCGGTGGCGGTATGAAGCCCCTGTCCTCCTCCAGTTCCGCAAAATGCTCGGGGGGAGGAGCTATGATGGAGGAGGCGGAGTAGCCGTTGCTGGGCGGTGTGGTGATGGTGGTGGACTCATCTTCGTTGTCCAGGGAGCGGCTGTGATCCTCCTGCTGCATTCCGGGTGGTGGCTGCTCCGCCTCTAATCTGGGTGGCGGCGAATTTGGCTGGGACTCTGCTTCACCCTCGCTCTCGTCGGAGGGCGTAAGTGGTGGGATCTGGCTGATGTGCTGGGCAGGCGGCGAGACCATGCGGCTAATGTTGAGTTCCGGGCAAGGTGGTGGAGTCACGGGCGGCGATGGCGAGTTCGATGGCGACTTGGTTAGAGGCGGAGTGACCTGGCCGAGATTGTGGCCCTGAACATAGGAGAGGTTGGAGGGGAGCGGTGGTAAGGGGGGCGGTGGCGTGGACTTGTCGTCGTCCTCCTCCTCTTCGTCGTTGTCGTCCTTGGGTTTTTCTTCCTGAACAGCCTCCGGGTGCACCTCCTCGGGATTGATTTCTGTGTCCTGCATTTCCTGTGGTGGCGGAATGGCCACCACCTCCTCTGCCTCGTCGGGTTCCTCGCCCTCGTCATCGTCATCTGTCCGTAGGCCCGCATCCTCCAAAGGCGACAGTGGAGGAGGTGGAATTAGCTCCATTTCCAGGACTGAAATAATGGGTGAGCCTGGTGGCGAAGGAGCTGCCCTGACTCCTTGATCCTGATTCGCGTCCTCCTGCTCCTTCTCCTCTTCCGCCTCTTCGTCCCTTTGCTGCGGTGGGGGCGTGGGCGTAGGCGGAATATCATCCGTTTCTGTTAGCGTTGGCAGTGGTTGACCCAGTAAAGAGGGCGGTGGCGCCACCAGGAGTAGGACCTCCTCTGCCAGGGAGACTGTGGGCAGCGGCGGCGGCGGAGGCGGTACCTCCCCGGCTTCCGGGTTGGCGGTGTTGTCCACCTCCTCTATATCGGAGTCGATGCCTTGGGCAAAGTCCATGTAGAAATTATCCCGCGAATCGCTGGAACCGCGTCGCAATTTCAGCGACAGATCCGGCGAGCTGTCCATCTCGCTCGCACACTGGTCGTCCTGCCTGCACGGGGCTTCACCTCTTGAGCTCTCTCTCCCCTTTGTGCTTTCGCCGTTCGAGAAATTCCTTCACACACCAGCACACGCACACGCCTGCAGGGGCGCCCTCTAGCGTTGGCTTTCTTTTAACTGCACGATTCTCTTATTTTCGAGGTTTTCCTTTAGGTTTTAAGTTTTTTAGATTTTTTAAATAGTTGTTAGCTGGTGATTTTTGGCTTTTCACTTAATTTCACTGCACACGCACATTGTGTGTATCCCTAAAATGCAAAGGAAGTGTCAAAAACACGCATACGCACAGCATTCCGCTCTGTATCTGCTCCTTCTGCTCTCTCTCTCTGCTGTAAAGGCGTGGGCGTTTTTGGAAGGGGCGTGGCGCGGCAGTGCAGTTTGTTGCGCATTTGGCTTTTTACGCAATTAAAGTGCGTGAGTGTGAATGTGCGTGCTAGCAAGTTGGGTGCGGGGAAGGGAAAAGGATGCGAAGTAATGGTTAAGAAAGAGTTTTCATTTGCCACTAACCAAATGAAACATTAAATTCAATTATAACAAACAATAAACACACTTTAAATTCCAAAAAATATTCTGTTTATTTAAACACTGGGATAACTCGATTTCACACAAAAAAAACTAACGGTTTAGGTTCGTGTTCCGGTTTCCGACTCCGTCGCTTGTTGTTGCTCGGTAAAAGCACGGACTTGTGCTCGATTTACATGTACCAACATGTACGACTAACTGCGACTCCTGCTGCGGCGGCACTTAATTTTAGAATGAGAAGACCGTTCGAACTCGGGACGTAACGGAACCCACATCGAATTGAGTTGCGCACAGCCTCTCAAAACGAGAGAGTGGGAGAGCGGGCGAGAGAGCGCCACATAACGGTGCCGGCTAACGGTGGTTGTCGAACGGCGTTTGCAACTACAACGCACTTGACCGGATTCCAATTGCCTTTGTTCGCAAAGTTTCCAGTTTTGAGAGAGCCTTCATCGGAAATCCCGGAATCCGCGACGTAGAAGAAAGTAGGGTAGGAAGTCGAGTGGTGGTCGAAAGCAATAGTAACTACATACAGGTGGGCACTCGGACTTTTAATATCGTTGCGAGTCAAAGCCATTTTAACAGCTGGCGATATACATATGCACATATATTAAGAAGGTCCTTTCCACTGGTAGTTTACTGAGCTAAGCTGACTTAATATTATCTCTTATAATAACCCCAAAACCAAGTCAAAAATATTATACGATTTAAAGGGGAAGGTAAAATTGCGCAATAAATAGCATACTTTTTAAGGCATTATGCATTTGAACACTGTACAAATGTATGAATGTTAGTTTCAGAATACACTTTTTAACTGGTTTTGTATGCCTTTGCAATCCACATTCCGAAAATATCGTACATTGATATACGTTTTATAAAAGAGAGAATTAAAATAAAATGTTTTCGTTCAACATACATACATATGTGCATATGCATGAATTCATGTATGCATGTACAATGTACACATATTCCTCTTTTCATTTAAAAAAGTTGGACAAAAGTTGCACACAATGCATCCCAATCCGTAACCTTGTATTTTTGCCCACTGTGCCGCGTCCTACGCATCTTTCTCCTTCTATCAGCTCTTGAAGAGGCGGGAAGCTGGGGGCGTTGGCAGGGGTAATGGACAGCGTGTGAAAAGTGTCACTGTCTGTGTGCTTTGTGATTGTGTGTGCAGCGGTAGATGCCTCAATTGCGGTACATTTATGTGGAGCAAAGAGAGCAGCGGAGCAGGCTGGAGTGAAAAACAAAAACATTCAACGGGAGCGGACCGGTAACAACGGAAGTGCGCATAGCAGCCCGACCGCCGCCCCTCCCGCCAATCCTTCCCCCGGGCTCCCCATGGGATGTGCTGGAATTTCAGCACCCAGCACAGGTCAATGGGAGAGCCACAGAGAGAGGATCTGCTAATGGGGAGGAAGTAGACGTGAACGGATTTGGGGAATGAGAGAACCGTTATTCGGGAAAGCGTGTCAGTGCATCGCCCGTTGAGTTTGCTTCAGAAACCTGCGCTAAAATAAGCCATAACCTCAAAAATAAAGCAGGACTTCTTCCGGGCTTGCCAACTGGTTTTTAATCAAATTCTCGTTGCCATACACATTGAAGAATGTGACAGCTAGACCCGTTACTCGCAAAAATGCTAGAATCTGGCATTACAGAAAAAGTTTGGAATTCTTTTAGATTTATGTATGTATATGATAACGAAAACGTACATACATATGTACGTATATTTCTTACATAAAAATTTGATGAAACAATTCTAATAGTCAAAAAAATACACCTTTTCTATAACTGAAATTTATTGCAAGATATATGTATGTACAATGTACAATATACAATAAGAGCAGCCAGGATTAGCTGGCGCTCTTCGAGGAGCGAAAATCAAACAATTTGGGTATTACATCGCCGCACTTAGCGGAAATCTTGATGTCCGCCAGGTGGTCGGCACGCGTGTCGCCTATATTGACTATGGCCACTGGTAGCTTGAGATCCTTCATCTGCAAGACAACGCGGTAGCCGGAGAAGACTAAGAGACTAGATCCCAGAACCAGCAGACCGTCGCTGTTGTAGACCATGTGCGCAATCTGGTCTAGTCGTGGCTTTGGCACAGAGTCCCCGAAGAAGACGATTTCCGGCTTTAAATCACCACCGCACTGCGCGCACTCCGGTATCCGGAAGTTCTCTATGTACTCCAGGGGGATCTCCACATCACCGTCGGGTCGGATCATGTCGGGGGCATCCTTGAAGGCCGGATTGAGTGTGGCCAGTATGCTCTGCAACTCGTGCCGATCGATGCGGTATTCGCAGCTCAGGCACTTGACTACATAGCCACTGCCATGGACCTCCACCACGTTCCGGCTACCGGCCTTTGAATGCAAACGATCCACATTCTGGGTGACCACCGCCTGGACCCGTCCCTCCCTCTCGAACCTGGCTAGAGCATGGTGCGTGGAATTGGGCTGGGTGGCGGAGAACTTGGGCCAGCCTACGAAGTTCCTGGCCCAGTACCTCTTGCGCACCGCCGATGACTTCACGAACTCCATGTGCTGCACGGGCTTATGATTGGACCGGGCGTAGAGTCCCACGCCCTCGGAACGGTAGTCGGGAATGCCTGGAATATATTTTTCAGTGTTAGTTATTGATGTTCATCTAGAATTCCAGGAACTAAGGCGGCAAAGCTAAATACCTAAGAATATTCTTTCCCAACTTTTTAAGGATTAATAGAAATAATGATAATAAATAAAAATAATTTTGAACTTAAAATCCAGTTTATTGAAACGAAAAAAATAAACTAAAAATAAACAATATCTAAAATCTTACATACATATTTTACATTTCATATTTTGAATTATGAAATTTTTGTGTAATTAAAACAAAAATCTCTCAGTGTAGGCAAATCAAGAAACTCACCCGATTCAGTTGAGATCCCAGCGCCCGTCAGAACCAAAACATTCGGTTTGGACATTAGGAAATCTTCTAACCGCTTGATGTCATCTTCCACGACGGGTTTATGATGCGGCACGTATTCTTGTTTAGCGGTGGAGCCCCGGAAGGCAGTGCTTCCGAACCGGAGCAATTGACCCACTCGCATATTTTGTTATGTATTATTGTATTATTATTATATTTTATTTTACTGGTTACGTTACTAGAGCTGGGCTGCCCACTAACGATACTATCGATATATCCCATATTTATAAGGTACCAAAACTCAAGTAATTGGAACCCAATTTGCAAAGATTCGAAAAGATTATCTTTTAATAACAAGTCAATCATTTTAATAAATAAATTATTTCTAAATAAGTATCTTCCAATATACCAAAAATGTACAAAAACAAAAACTGAACTATTTTGAATATACAGTTCTCGCCGAATAGTAGTATTATTAACAATAGAAACAAGGGCCGCGTTCAGCAAAACAACATTACTTGATCATTGATGGAATTCTTACGACAGTTCTGCTGAACGCACATGATTACTAATCATGATGAAAAAATTCTTGCATCATGATCAGTAAAAAAAGAGCGTCAAATATCGATAAGAATTAACATAATTATAATAAAAAACCATGAAGTAAGTTAAATTCTTTACAACTGTTTAGGCCTTTTTGATTTTTACGTGTCCACGATTGCTGTGCACAATGCTTCAGTTGCGGTGGCAATTAATTATAAAGTGATTGTCAGACCGTACACTAGGACCCATTTAAAACGACATTTGAAGTTTTTCTGGTGAAATGTTTTACTTTTTCGGCGTAGTTATGTATCATGAGCGTTATTATGTTGTTCTGCTATACGAGGCCATTGGATCTATTAATATAATTAGATATAAAACTTAGTTGAGTATGCCTATAGAAAAATACTAAAATCGTATTTGTGACGCTTGATATCGATAGCACCATGGCTGCCATCGATTTTTACACGCCATCAATCGATAGCAGCTTGCTAGGAGCTACCATCTCTAGACGAGAGCAGCGGCCGCAGAAAAAATCAGAGTTTCGGTAATTTACGTGTGAATTAAGCACGCGCCGTGTACCCAGCACTTGCAGCAGCCGCAGGCCAGCCTACCCGAGATCCTTTTAGTGATCCTTGCGGGCGCCCAGCTCCGGAACCGGGAAAAAGGACATTCGCACTCACATTTGCCACTCCGTGTGGCGTTTGCGCCCATCCGTGTGTTTATGTGTATGTGTGCCTGCTCAGTCGCTCGCTTGTGTGTGTGAATTGTCGGCTTTAATTTGCAAGCACGCTAAAGTTGTGTTTTTAAAGGACACAAAGGATTTGCAGGCGGAACGGAAACGCACAAGATGTCTTACCCACCGCGGGCGCCCATGCCGCCCTACATGAATGCATCTATACCGCCGCCGCACGTAAGTGTCCGTTTCTGGGTCACAATGACCATGGAGATGTTCAGCCCCAAGCCAATCCTCCCTCCGCCTTTCAGATGATGCAGAACATGGGCAATCCGCCGCGGAACTTCCGCAACTCGGCAACCATCAGCTCACAGCCGACAGTGTATCACCGTCCGCCGGAGCCGCAGCCCCAGTTCCGCGGACCAATCATTACCGTCTTCGTGGGCAACATCAGCGAACGCGTCCCAGAGGCGCTGCTCAAACGCATCCTGGCAACCTGCGGAGTGGTCATCAACTGGAAGCGGGTCTCCACATTTGGCTTCTGCGAATTCGAGTGGGTTATACTGCCTCTGGGGCACTGGGGAAGGTGTAAAGCACTTTGGAAGGCCTAGGATAGGACTTGTACGTTTTGGATCGTCATAGCCCTCTGAAAGAGTTTGGCATCCTACGAGAGTTGCTAATATATAAAAAAGCAATTGGATTCTTGGAAAGATTTTTGCAACCATTGGTTCAACATTGACTTTCCTAGAAAGGCAAAGCATATTTATAAATTGGTTACATTGCTTCTAGCCATGTTAACTAAACCGAAAGTTTATGGGTGTTAATCTAGATGTTCAAACAACAAAAGTTTCTCGAACCACCAACAAAAAGTACTTTCCTACTTTTTGTAATACAGCCCGATAGAAAAATGAGCATTCGTTAGCTCTATTTATTATAGGCAATGGCAAAATTATTGTTCAAAGAAATTAATATATGTCAATTTAGTAATAATCATTGAGATTGCTTACATATAATCATTTAGCAAACATATATGTAGAAAAAAGCAACGGCCTTCTAGTGTGCTTTCCCGAATGTTTAAAATCGCCAGATGCCTAACGAAGTTCTTTGACGTATTTCAGCGGT